TCCCAGCTAGCACATAACATTCTGAGAACCATATGTTTCTTAGAGCTTGGCGAGAGCGTGGTTGTCCTATGTTATTTTGCATACAACCTTCCCACAACTTTCTGGGAAGGGTGCAGGATAGTTGGCTTTGGAACATTCTCAGCACATGTAAGGAATTTGACAAAAAACATTATTTCTTGGTATTTCATTACTTCAAACATGGATACATTTAATTTTAATTTTGGTAATTTTCTAGGAACATTCTCCAACTGGTTTGACATAGGGAATGTTCTCAAATAGTTCAGAGAATGTTAAGAAACAACGTTCTTCTATGGTAATTTCAATTTCCTACAGGTTTCCTCATGGTTCTATTTAAAGTCATGTTCTCAAATTGTTCCAAGAACATTAAGAAACCTTCCATCAAAACCACAAGAAAACATTAGTAACGTTCAGATAACATTTTAAGAATGTTATTTAAAAACATATAGGCTTATTTTCCATTCTCAGCATCAACACAACTCTCTCTATGCTCTATCTTGTTAAGTACGCTCAGGGGAGTTGGGCGTGCCCACTAGTCGGCCACACCTGATCTCAATGAGTGCTTGTTTCCTTTGAAATTGGGTCTGTTTGAATAAACTAAAATGAACAGCTTTGTATGCTTTAAAAAAACATGGCATGCTAGCTTGATCCTGGTGGCGCAGTGGACTAATTCCTTAGATAAAGAACAGAAGATTATAGGTTTGAATCTCACTGAAGCTGTGTTGCAAAAACAAAATGTTGCATGATTAACGCCTAAGGAAATACAGTTCCATGTGTCCTATCTGTACTTCAAAAAAGTTAACCCCAAATAACCTAGCAGTGTTTTTGAAACATGCAGTGAAAGTTTCAAGGAAGTTATTAAAAATAACCTATAATTTCCATTCTCAGGGCATTAATAAAACCTCCCACAGCCAATGTGAAACCAAAAACACACATTCCCACAACTTCCAACTGCTAGCTGGGTTGTGACGCTATAAACAAACAAAGTGAAGATAGACGCCATTCCAGTTCAAAGTGGACACACCAAAGTACATATTTACCTCATACGATCTTGAGTTCCTCATTTTAATGATGATTCATTGGGATGAACAAGAAAGGAAAGGTCACCTGGTAAAAAGTGTTGACTGAAACGGCTTTGTTCAAAACAGTGTTTGGGTCTACTCTTTAGGTATACCAACAATATTTGGAGAAACCATATACAGTGCATTCGGAAAGTATTCAGACCACTTGAATTTTTCCACATTTTGTTACGTTACAGCCTTATTCTAAAATTGATTAAATAGTTTTTTCCCCCTCATCAATCTACACACAATACCCCATAATGACAGAGCAAAAACAGGTTTTTAGAAATGTTTGCAAATTTATTTAAAAAAATAAAATAATGGAATATAACATTTACATAAGTATTCAGACCCTTTGCTATGAGACTCAAAATTGAGCTCAGGTGCATCCTGTTTCCATTGATCATCCTTGAGATGTTTCTACAACTTGATTGGAGTCCACCTGTGGTAAATTCAATTGATTGGACATGATTTGGAAAGGCACACACCTGTCTATATAAGGTCCCACAGTTGACAGTGCATGTCAGAGCAAAAACCAAGCCATGAGGTCGAAGGAATTGTCCATAGAGCTCCAAGACAGGATTGTGTCGAGGCACATTACATTTTACATTTTAGTCATTTAGCAGACGCTCGTATCCAGAGCGACTTACAGGAGCAATTAGGGTTAAGTGCCTTGCTCAAGGGCACATCGACAGATTATTCAACTAGTCGGTTCGGGGATTAGAACCAGAGACCTTTCGGTTACTGGCACAACGCTCTTAACCACTAAGCTAGCTACCCTTCCCCACATATCTGGGTAAGGGTACAAAAAAAAATCTGCAGCATTGAAGGTCCCCAAGAACACAGGGGCCTCCACCATTCTTAAATGCAAGAAGTTTGGAACCACCAAGGCTCTTCCTAGAGCTGACTGCCTGGCCAAACTGAGCAATCGGGGGAGAAGGGCCTTGGTCAGGGAGGTGACCAAGAGCCCAATGTTCACTCTGACACTCTAGTGTTCCTCTGTGAAGATGGGAGAAACTACCAGAAGGACAACCATCTCTTCAACACTCCACCAATCAGGCCTTTATGGTAGAGTGGCCAGACGGAAGCCACTCCTCAGTAAAAGGCACATGACAGCCTGCTTGGAGTTTGCCAAAAGGCACCTAAAGACTCTCAGACCATGAGAAACAAGATTCTCTGGTCTGATGAAACCAAGATTCAACTCTTTGTCCTGAATGCCAAGCGTCACGTCTGGAGTAAACCTGGCACCATCCCTACGGTGAAGCATGGTGCTGGTGGCAGCATCATGCTGTGGGGATGTTTTTCAGCGGCAGGGATTGGGAGACTAGTCAGGATCGAGGCAAAAATTAACGGAGCAAATTGCAGAGAGATCCTAGATGAGCGCTCAGGACCTCAGACTGGGGCGAAGGTTCACCTTCCAACAGGACAACGACCCTAAGCACACAGCCAAGACAATGCAGGAGTGGCTTCGGGACAAGTCTCAATGTCCTTGAGTGGCCCAGCCAGAGCCCGGACTTGAACCCGATCAAACAACTCTGGAGAGACCTGAAAATAGCTGTGCAGTGATGCTCCACATCCAACCTGACAGAACTTGAGAGGATCTGCAGAGAAGAATGGGAGAAACACCCCAAATACAGGTGTGCTAAGCTTATAGCGTCATACCCAAGAAGACTCGATGCTGTAATTGCTGCCAAAGGTGCTTCAACAAAGTACTGATTATTCAGGTTCTGAATACTTATGTAAATAAGGTAATTTCTGTGTTAGATTTGAAATAAATCTGCAACCAAAAATAATAATGGGGCTTTGTCATTATTGGGTATTGTGTGTAGATTGATGAGGAAAAAAAATATTTAATCAATTTTTGAATACGGGCTGTAATGTAACAATGTGGAAAAAGTGAAGGGGTCTGAATACTTTCCGAATACAGTGAGGGGAAAAAAGTATTTGATCCCCTGCTGATTTTGTACGTTTGCCCACTGACAAAGAAATGATCAGTCTATAATGTTAATGGTAGGTTTATTTGAACAGTGAGAGACAGAATAACAACAACAAAATCCAGAAAAAACGCATATAAAAAATGATATAAATTAATTTGCATTTTAATGAGGGAAATAAGTATTTGACCCCCTCTCAATCAAAAAGTTTACTGGCTCCCAGGTGTCTTTTATACAGGTAACGAGCTGAGATTAGGAGCACACTCTTAAAGGGAGTGCTCCTAATCTCAGCTTGTTACCTGTATAAAAGACACCTGTCCACAGAAGCAATCAATCAATCAGATTCCAAACTCTCCACCATGGCCAAGACCAAAGAGCTCTCCAAGAATGTCAGGGACAAGATTGTAGACGTACACAAGGCTGGAATGGGCTACAAGGTCATCGCCAAGCAGCTTGGTGAGAAGGTGATAACAGTTGGTGCGATTATTCGTGTCAGTGGGTGCTGTAGGTGGGTGTGGTGCAGGAATCAGATGCAGGACGCAGAAAGATAAGTCCAATAGATTTTAGTGAAACGCACACTCAAAATCACGAGTCAAACGCCCGGAGGCGAGAAAGTCCGCACACAGGCGAAAACCAAAAGGCGCACCAAACAGTGCGTAATAAACCTCCTAACACAGAGGCTACAAGACCATCGCCAAGCTGCTTGGTGAGAAGGTGACAACAGTTGGTGCGATCGCAAATGGAAGAAAGACAAAAGAACTGTCAATCTCCCTCAGCCTGGGGCTCCATGCAAGATCTCACCTCGTGGAGTTGCAATGACCATGAGAACGGTGAGGAATCAGCCCAGAACTACACGGGAGGATCTTGTCAATGATCTCAAGGCAGCTGGGACCATAGTCACCAAGAAAACAATTGGTAGCACACTACGCCGTGAAGGACTGAAATCCTGCAGTGCCCGCAAGGTCCCCCTGCTCAAGAAAGCACATATACAGGCCCGTCTGAAGTTTGCCAATGAACATCTGAATGATTCAGAGGAGAACTTGGTGAAAGTGTTGTGGTCAGATGAGACCAAAATGGAGCTCTTTGGCATCAACTCAACTCGCCGTGTTTGGAGGAGGAGGAATGCTGCCCATGACCCCAAGAACACCATCCCCACCGTCAAACATGGAGGTGGAAACATTATGCTTTGGGGGTGTTTTTCTGCTAAGGGGACAGGACAACTTCACTGCATCAAAGGTACGATGGACGGGGCCATGTACCGTCAAATCTTGGGTGAGAACCTCCCTCCCTCAGCCAGGGCATTGAAAATGGGTTGTGGATGGGTATTCCACATGACAATGACCCAAAACACACGGCCAAGGCAACAAAGGAGTGGCTCAAGAAGAAGCACATTAAGGTCCTGGAGTGGCCTAGCTAGTCTCCAGACCTTAATCCCATAGAAAACATGTGGAGGGAGCTGAAGGTTTGCGTTGCCAAACGTCAGCCTCGAAACCTTAATGACTTGGAGAAGATCTGCAAAGAGGAGTGGGACAAAATCCCTCCTGAGATGTGTGCAAACATGGTGGCCAACTGCAAGAAACGTCTGACCTCTGTGATTGCCAACAAGGGTTTTGCCACCAAGTACTAAGTCATGTTTTGCAGAGGGGTCAAATACTTATTTCCCTCATTAAAATGCAAATCAATTTATAACATTTTTGACATGCGTTTTTCTGGTTTTTTTTAATGTTATTCTGTCTTTCACTGTTCAAATAAACCTACCATTAAAATTATAGACTCATCATCTCTTTGTCAGTGGGCAAACGTACATAATCAGCAGGGGATCAAAAACTTTTTTCCCTCACTGTACATTGCCAACCAAGATTATTATTTCCTTATTACAGAGCGTAGTCCACGAAGGCTTTGTTTTTTGGCGATAACTTCACCAAAAGGCCTCAACTGACAGGCTTTGCTGTCCTCCTGTGTGAACTCCACCGAGAGGTCTCTGACCATGAGAGACCGTCTGGAGGAACTGCGTCAGAGGGCCCAGGAGTTCCGGGAGGCGAGCAACAAGGTAGTTGAGACCCCATTCCCTGAGGAGGACGCTGACCTTGATGACCAGGCATGGATTAGTGGCGCCACCCCGCAACAGGCTGTGGTGTTTGAGGAGGAACCAGTCCTGGACAACTTCCTGTCCGAGGCTCAGCATATCCGCTGTGACATCACTGAGCTGGAAACTGAGGTGAGTGATCTCACATATTCCTCCTAAGAGTGGCCGGAATTATATACACTGTTCGATCCGCAAAGCCTGCACCTTAGTTTGACTGCAACTTAATGTCCATGAGAATACTGTGATGAATTCGGGAGGTGGAAGGATGCTCTATAAATTCTTGTTGTTCTTTTAAAGTTTGACTAAATCCTCTTCTCCTTCTCCCAAGGTGAAGAAGTTTAGCCAGCAACAAAGGAGCCTGGTGGCAACCATGCGTCATTTCAGTGTGATGAAGAAGGAGAGCAGTGTGACGAGGGACATCAAGCTGCAGGCAGAGAGCATCCACAGAAAGCTGGATGTCCTCTCCAAGAAGGCACAGAGTTTAGAAGGCCTGCAGGGACAGGCTACAGCCACTACACGCATCCAACGCTCCCAACACGCAGCGCTACACAGACATTTCCAACAGGTCACTCTCAAATAGTTATTCTAACCTTTTATTTCAATGGTGTTTTTCTGATGTGTTCAATAACACGTGAACGTTAGCAAAAAAAATATTTGTTAGGTTAGTTTGCACATTGTAGCCTTCTTGAATATTCGCGAGCACTAGCTAAGCTAACAGCGAACAGAAATTGATGTTTTTGGTCTAAAGTACTTTTTCATATTTTATCACACCTAGGTGATGCGTCTGTACAACGACTCCATCCTTAGTAAACAGGAGCGTTGTAAACACTTCATCATCCGCCAGCTGGAGGTGTCTGGTCGCGATGTCACCGAGGAGGAAGTGGACGAAATGGTTGCTGTGGGGAAGTGGGAGGTGTTTAACCAGAACCTCCTCAACAACGAACGCATCACACGCTCTAAGCTGTCTGAGATCGAGCAGAGACACAAGGTAAGTGTGATGACATTAACATAGAAAAGTTTTGATGTGTAAGAGAATGCAAGACTATGTTATCTAAGCAAAGTGATGACCTTGATATCCCTCAGTAAGGGATAAATGAGAACTGCAGTAGGAGTCGTATGTCTGTGACAGACAAACACTAATGTCGGCTCTAATTTAGACCAATTTTACTGTCCATTCAGACAACCCTTGACTACTGTTCTGTCCTAATCTTTTCTGTAACTACTATAGGAGCTGGTGAATCTGGAGAGCAACATGAAGGAGCTGAGAGATCTGTTCATGGATATCTTTATGTTGGTGGAGGAGCAGGGAGACTACATAAACCACATCCAGACCAGCGTAGAGAAGACACAGGACTACGTCACCGTCACTAACGAGAAGTTTAAAATGGCTGCAAGGTACAGGAAAAAGAACCCTCTGAGGAGGCTGTGCTGCTGTTGCTGCCCCTGGAGGTGATGCACATAGAGGAGAGACTGGAGACTGGAGATACCCCTGGAGGTTTTTCAGATGGGGAGAGGATGAACTCTGGTGTGGAGAGTCTACAGGTGCAAAAATCAACTGCTTACGTTGGTCAGAAATCATCCAAGAATAATAGGATTCTAAGAGGATGTGCAATTGAAGCAGAGTGGGAGTCAGTGTTTCTACTCCTGATGGACTGCTGAAGGACTGATTAACTCAAGACAGAATGCACTTTGAGAATCAGCAAGACTGTTTAACTGGACAGAAGTGTTCACAATGTGGAGACAGCTTGGATGTTACTTTCATGAATCGCTGTTTTACGATTCATGTTAGTTTTTCTATTTACTTAAACTTCATGTGTATGTACAGTACCAGTCAAAAGTTTGGACACATCTACTCATTCAAGGGTTTTTCTTTATTTTTACTAATAGTGAAGACATCAAAATGATGAAATAACACATGTGGAATCATGTTAGTAACCAAAAAGTGTGAAACAAATCAAAAATATATTTGAGATTTGAGATTCTTCAAAGTAGCCATCCTTTGCCTTGATGACAGCTTTGCACACTTTTGCCATTTTCTCAACGAGATTCATGAGATAGTCACCTGGAATGCATTTCAATTAACAGGTGTGCCTTGTTAAGAGTTAATTTGTGGAATTTCTTTGCTTCTTAATGCGTTTGAGGCAATCAGTTGTGTTGTGACAATGCTATTTGGGGAAGGGTACCAATCAGTTGTGTTGTGACAATGCTACCCGAGTGGTGCAGTGGTCTAAGGCACTGCATCGCAGTGCTAGCTGTGCCACTAGAGATCCTGGTTCGAATCCAGGCTCTGTCGTAGCCGGCCGGACCGGGAAGAGACCCATGGGGCGGTGCACAATTGGCCCAGTGTCGTCCAGGGTAAGGGAGGGAATGGCCGGCAGGGATGTAGCTCAGTTGGTAGAGCATGGCATTTGCAACGCCAGGGTTGTGGGTTCGATTCCAGTATGAAAAAAATAAATCACTAACTGTAAGTCGCTCTGGATAAGAGCGTCTGCTAAATGACTAAAATGTAAATGTAGCTATTTGATTAGCTGTTCAGGAGTCTTATCGCTTGGGGGTAGAAGCTGTTAAGAAGCCTTTTGGACCTAGACTTGTCACTCCGGTACCGCTTGCCGTGCGGTAGCAGAGAGAACAGTCCATGACTAGCGTGGCTGGGAGTCTTTGGCAATTTTTAGGGCCTTCCTCTGACACCACCTGGTATAGAGGTCCTGGAGGGCAGGAGGCTTGGCCCCAGTGATGTACTGGGCCGTACGCACTACCCTCTGTAGTGCCTTGCGGTCAGAGGCCGAGCAGTTGCCATACCAGGCGGTGATGAAGGTCAGTCAATCCGGAACATTTCAAGAACTTTGAACGTTTCTTCAAGTGCAGTCGCAAAAACCATCAAGCGCTTTGATGAAACTGGCTCTCATGAGGACCGCCACAGGAAAGGAAGACCCAGAGTTACCTCTGCTGCAGAGGATACGTTTATTAGAGTTACCAGCCTCAGAAATTGCAGCCCAAATAAATGCTTCACAGAGTTCAAGTAACAGACACATCTCAACATCAACTGTTCAGAGGAGACTGAGTGAATCAGGCCTTCATGGTCGAATTGCTGCAAAGAAACCACTACTAAAGGCCACCAATAATAAGAAGAGACTTGCTTGGGCCAAGAAACACGAGCAATGGACATTAGACTGTCCTTTGGTCTGATGAGTCCAAATTTGAGATTTTTGGGTCCAACTGCTTTGTCTTTGTGAGATGCAGAGTAGGTGAACGGATGATCTCCGCATGTATGGTTCCCACCGTGAAGCATGGAGGAGGAGGTGTGATGGTGTGGGGGGTGCTTTGCTGGTGACACTATCTGTGATTTATTTAGAATTCAAGGCACATTTAACCAGCATGGATACCACAACATTCGGCAGCGATACGCCATCCCATCTGGTTTGCGTTTAGTGGGACTATCATTTGTTTTTCAACAGGACAATGACCCAACACACCTCCAGGCTGTGTAAGGGCTATTTGACCAAGAAGGAGAGTGATGGAGTGCTGCATCAGATGACCTGACCTCCACAATCACCCGACCTCAACCCAATTGAGATGGTTTGGGATGAGTCGGACCGCAGAGTGAAGGAAAAGCAGTCAACAAGTGCTCAGCATATGTGGGAACTCCTTCAAGACTGTTGGAAAAGCATTCCAGGTGAAGCTGGTTAAGAGAATGCCAAGAGTGTGCAAAGCTGTCATCAAGACAAAGGGTGGCTACTTTGAAAAATGTCAAATATAAAACATATTTAGATTTTTTGGTTACTATATGATTCCATATGTGTTATTTCATAGTAAAAATAAAGAAAAAATATTGAATGAGTAGGTGTGTCCAAACTTTTGACTGGTACTGTACATATGAATGCATTTACCTGCGAGTTTCACTTCAAATCAGGCAGGCTCAATGGAAAATGTGTTATATTTCAAAATCTCATTGTGGATTAAGTTATTTCACTGTGGTTATTTGTTTGATAACTTTTTATTTTGTTAAGGACTGTTACCATTTCAGAAGATGGCTTTCAGACAAAGACATCAAGACTAAATCTCTCTGACTGTGAACAAACATCCTGTGTTAGGTGAAACTATGACACATTTCAATGTGTAACTGTGCTTTGTCATAGCAGCAGCAGTGTGGGAGTGTACTTCATTAAAGACCCATATGTCTCACAGTGAACACAGGGGAAATGCCCGGTCATAAGTATATGGCCCAGTATGGAGGACACGTATGTGTGTGTGTGTCTGTGAAGTCATCACAAGAATAGTAAACCAACTAAAATTCAGAGAAGTGGGGATATTTTGCCAGTCCTCACTTGTAAAAAGGCTATTTTAGGGTTAGGGTTAGAATTAGGGTTAGGGTTAAAATTAGGGTCAGGGGTTAGGTTTAGGGTTAGGTGTTAAGGTTAGGGTAAGGGAAAATAGGATTTTGATTGGGAATCAATTGTTGGTCCCCAAAATTCCTCACAAGTATAGTGTGTGTGTGTGTGTGTGTGAGTGTGTGTGTGTGTGTGAGTGTGTGCACACGCGTCAAAAGTGGACCCAGGTGTCTGATGTCAGAGTCTACACAGAGGACAGGGTGTGCATGGACCTGACTGGTAACACAGGTTTAACTGATATCATATAACAGGATAAGTGTCTAGATACACACTGCAGGGCACAGGGATGATATCAACCCACGTAGAAAGGTGGGTCAGCTCTAACACAGCTGAACAGGATATACAGTGCATTCGGAAAATATTCAGACCCGTTGACTTTTTCCACATTTTGTTACGTTACAGCCTTATTCTAAAAAAAAATTCCCCTCATCAATCTACACACAATACCCCATAGTGACAAAAACAGGTTGATTTTTTGCAAATGTATTACAAATACAAAACTTTACAACATATCGGACCCTTTACTCAGTACTTTGTTGAAGCTCCTTTGGCAGCAATTACAGCCTCAAGTCTTCTTGGGCATGACACTACAAGCTTGGCACACCTGTATTTGGGGAGTTTCTCCCATTCTTCTCTGCAGATCCTCTCAAGCTCTGTCAGGTTGGATGGGGAGCGTTGCTGCACAGCTATTTTCAGGTCTCTCCAGAGACGTTCGATCGGGTTCTAGTCTGGGCTCTGGCTGGGCCACTGAAGGACATTCAGAGACTTGTCCTGAAGCCACTCCTGCGTTGTCTTGGCTGTATGCTTAGGGTCGTTGTCCTGTTGGAAGGTGAACCTTCGCCCCAGTCTGAGGTCCTGAGCGGTCTGGAGCAGGTTTCCATCAAGGATCTCTCTGTACTTTGTTCCGTTCATATTTCCCTTAATCCTGACTAGTTTCCCAGTCCCTGCCACTGAAAAACATCCCTACAGCATGATGCTGCTACCACCATGCTCCACCATGCTTCATTTTTTGGTACCCTTCCCCAGATCTGTGCCTCGACACAATCCTGTCTCTGAGCTCTACGGACAATTCCTTCGACCTCATTGCTTGGTTTCTGCTCTGACATGCACTGTCAGCTGTGGGACCTTATATAGACATGTGTGTGCCTTTCCAAATCATGTCCAATCAATTGAATTTACCACAGGTGGACTCCAATCAAGTTGTAGAAACATCTCAAGGACATCTCACCCTTCTCTGGTCTACGTATGCCTACTTAGCCACTTTCCACCACAATCCCCTAATCACCATTAGGAGAACGTTCAAATGTTTCGGAGTAACAACCCTGCCTCTAAGTGGTTACAGGGAGAAGTGCAACAGGAAGCACAACATTTTGTTCACATCCATGTGTTCTGTATCAAACAGTACAGAAAAACAAGTTTATCCCTGGTTGAGTTACTCACAATAGGACAGGCTTGCAAGCAATGTGGGGGTGCTGTAGGACGTCAGTGATGGTGGCCCTGGTGTCTTGGAGGCGTTTGACGTCGTTGGAGTCGACCACGAACACCAGACCATGGGACTGGGCGTAGTAGCTCCCCAACATAGCCCTGCCCAGCCACCCCGGCCCTCCACCGAGGTCATAGAGGGTCACCTTACACCCCCCCAAACACAGCTCAGCCACAGACACTCCATCAACAGGGGCCTGGTCACACAGGTTCTCTGGGTGAAAGAGCAGAAATTACACTCACTAATACTCTTCAAGATCATAAAAGTGCATAAAAGATGTATAACTCATAACGGTTACACTTGTTTTGAAGTTACTGTCTGTCTTTGTGTATCAGTGATCAGTCAGTCTGTGAAGTTGTAAGAGGTTCCTCCATAACGTCTGAGGAACGTCAAAGTGTGTCTGAGAGTACAACCATCTGTGGTCAGTCCAGTTATCTGTCATTATTTTACTGTGTAAGGCCATCAACATCTGACCAGGGGTAACAGGACCTGCAGCGTGTAGTGTGTTACAGCCTATGCTAAATCAGACAGGTAAAGGCCAGATCTCAGGACCTGTGGTTAGACTGAAGCAGACGACACATCAGTCTCTAGTCACAGCTGTTAAAGGGATAGATCACCTCAATACCAAAGACTGAAGTTTTCGTACTTGTCAGACTTTTATTATTGGGTGAAGTATCTCAACTGTAAGCCTATGCCTATGCAAGAATAAAGTTGATATTATTGTATGAGAGAGAGGCCCACCTCCCTGTAGACCTCTGATTATAGTGGTTTTCCCTGCGTTGTCCAGACCCACCACCACCAGAGTCACTTTCCTGCTGAAAATAGATGAATAACACAATGAAAGTTAGGTTTATAGTACACAGGTAGACAGCACGGTTGTGACTAGAGGGAGTACAGCTACGACCAAAATTGACTTTGTGGAAGGTTAGGAGAGCATTCTAG